CTCGAGGTGGCTTCAACCCAGTTCAAACAGTAGTTATGCCCCATTTGAACCGGAAATGGAAGTCTCCTCCTGAAAACATGCAAACTCACTCGTGCTAAACGGTTATAGCCAAAGCATGCAAAAATGTCAATACTTACCACGTCCTACAATACGAAGGAAAGATGACATTACATTTACATGAGCAAAAGCAAGCACAAGCGTAGGAGACTGTCATCAGCATTAAGGTAAGGAGCATAGCTTTTTACTAAACTACTCTAGGTATGATATTTGATAGCGGTTTCATGGCAAAAGAATAACACAACAGCAACGAGAATGAAGCGAGTAACGACAATACGACACAAAAGTGAGTTTCTTTTCCCCAATAAGACTCACTTCTGTAGGCCGGGGCTTAGTCTGGCATGAAGCAAACGTACAATCCACTTTAAGGTATAATGCCTGGCTTGTGCTAAGAAGGGTCTAAACAAACGTGTGAAGTTTCATGGCTTACACATTTGTGTCATAAACAACCATCACCACTGCAAACTTAATTTCAAAGTGTCCAATTTCGTTCAGGCTCACAATCAGTAAAAATAAGGGTGAAATAAGACCGAAAAATTGCATAAAAGTTGATGCAAGTAGAGAGCAAAAGCATTTCGAGCTCAATCGCAAAGCCAGTGCGCAGACGAGGAGAAAAATAGCCTTACAACAGAGGGGCTGATCTTTGGCTTGATATCGGTAAAGAAGAGGTGCCACCAAAAATTGAGGAACCGCAAGGATTGGGCACTGATCTCGTCACAAGGCGTAAGGCTCCCGGTCTCGGGGTTGACCTGCTGGTGCCAGGGCTTCGCCGCACCAATAAAGTGGACGACGCGGATTTGCGAGCCAAATCGCTTCATAGCGGGCGGATAGGAATAAAAAGCCTGAGAGATGCAGTTGTAAGTAAAAGGAAGATGACGTCGAATGTCCTTGGTGGACCAGTCCGAGAAAAAGAGGTTCAGCAGACCCTGAAAACGCCATCGAAGGGGTGGATTAGTATACGACCTACACCGCATATTTGCTTTATTTCGTTCGCTAGTAACAGGACCATATTTGAGATGGAGTAACCATAC